AACACATAGATACACTCAATGATATATCCACAGATACAGACAGACACACACACACACTCAGGTACACATACAGACACACTGACACACTTTTTGTAACCACCCTCCTGCTTCTTACCTGCAGGAGGGTGGACTCTGCTGGCTGGGGCTGATGTGGGTGTGGGCAGGGACGTATTAGCCGCGAGGCAAACAAGGCATTTGCCTTGGGCGGCATTTTTCAGGGGGCGGCAAAAAACGCAAATGCCTAGTTAGCCTCGCGGCCTCACGGCTCGCGGCTAACAGACATTCTGGGCGCCAGTGGCTGCAGCGCTGGGCGGGCGGCCGGCGAGGGAGCTCTTCCCCTGAGCTGACTGCTCAGCTCCCTCGCGGCCGCAGAGTGAGGCTGGGAGCCGGAAGATGACGTCATCTTCCGGCTCCCAGCCTCACTCTGCAGCCGGCGCGCGAGGGAGCTGAGCAGTCAGCTCATAGGTAGTGCACCCTCGCCGGCCGCCCGCCCAGCGCTGCAGCCACTGGACCACCAGGTAGAGAGAGACCTCCCTCCCCCAGCACTCCCAAAGGTAAGGAGGTTGGGGGGGGATTTAATTTAAAAAAAAAAAAGTTGTCCTGTGTGTGTCTGTGAGAGGAGGAAAGTAGAGGAGGAAAGTAAACCAGGAGCAACAGGTAAGCAGAAAGATAGAGAGATTTTAGTAATGGGAGAAGTGAGGGCAAAACTGAAAAATAGTAGAGAAAAAATTGTTAAGTAGTGTTTTATTATAGATGAGGACATTATAAGGGCAGCTAGGACCGTAGGAGAGCGTGGAGGGGTGAAAGGTTAACTGGTCTGTGGTGTGGGAATGGAGGTGTTACAGGGGAGGAGAAGATGTTGGACATGATTGGTGTGTTTGGAAGACCAAGTAATTTAAACTATCCACAAATGTAGTGAGTACCATGGGGATGGTTTAGTGTGGGGCAGGGTGGGTGGGAAAAATCTTCCAGAGATGCTAGCTCAGCATAAGGCTTTTGAGCTGCAAGACTTGCTAGCTGTGAGTCTTGGGAGCAATCTTTAAGTTTGTTTGTTGGGGCTCAGACTGAAATAGAAAGTCTTGGTATAGATAAAAAACATCAATTGTGGGCGGAGAGAGACATGCAGATATTGAAGTGAGAAACGGCAATTAAGAGAAGAAAGCAGAGGAGAGGACATTTGAGATTTAAATAAAGGAGGGCATGGTAAAGATCAGATAGGTGAAAGTAATAAAAGGTGAACATAAACCAACAGGACTAACATTAACAAAGACAATTTAAGTTGTTAATTAAGCTGAATAACTATAGGGGAGAGATGTAAATAGGAAAGCAAATGTAAATTAAAAAACAGGGATAAAAATAGATAGTGCTGGTATTCTTGAGTAGATCTTCCATAGATGCTACCTCAGCATAAGGCCTTTGAGCTGCAAGACTTGCTAGCTGTGGGTCCTGGGAGCAATCTTTAAGTTTGTTTGTTGGGGTACAGACTCAGCATGAGGCTTTTGAGCTGCAAGACTTGCTAGCTGTGAGTCTTGGGAGCAATCTTTAAGTTTGTTTGTTGGGGCTCAGACTCAGCATGAAGCTTTTGAGCTGCAGAACTTGCTAGCTGTGAGTCCTGGTTTCAAAGAAAAGACAGTGTTTACATTAATGCAAAGGAACCACTCTATTTGCAGTCAATCAGATGGCCACTAGATGTGCTTAACCCCGTAAGGACTGAGTCAATTGTACAAGTTGTGATCAAAACAAAATGTTTGGCTAGTGTTTGTGACTAAGTGACTACTAAAAAGAATGGATATATCCCATATTGAATACCCTGGATTGTCTACTTTTGCAAATGGTATGCTATCATGGGGTTAATTCTCATTCCTAGGCTACCATACGATCTCAAAGGCAACATAACCAATCTGGCAAATTTCAATGAAATAAATTAAATGTGCAAGCCTTATATTTGACCCGGTAACTTTCAAAAACACTATAAAACATGTACATGGAGGGTACTGTTATAATCAGGAGACTTTGCTGAAAATAAATATTAGTGTTTCAAAACAGTAAAATTTATCACAACAATGATATCATCAGTGAAAATGCCGTTTGTGTGTGAAAAATGCAAAAAACTTCACTTTCATAGACAATATCATCATTGTGATACATGTTACTGTTTTGAAACACTAATATTTGTGTTCAGTGAAGTCTCCTGAGTAAAACAGTAACCCCCATGTACAGGTGTTACTGTGTCTTGGAAAGTTACAGGGTTAAATATAGTGCTAGCAAATTAAGTTCTCTGGATTTTCTGCCAGGGTTGTCAGGCAGGTCCCGCAAATTGCAATCAATAATATTACCTAATTATGTAAAATATTACATAAGTATGCACGTAGAATTTAAATATATATATATATATATATATATATATATATATGTATATATTTGAAGTCTACGTTTATATTTATGAAACTATGTATGTAATTATGTATATGGATATATATATTTTTTTATTTGTATTTATATATATATATATAGAATTTCATTATAACTGTATTTTGATATAAATATATCTATATTAATATCAAAATACAGTTAGATTGAAATTACATATATATAAATAATGTTTTTAATATTTAAAATTGTTTTTTATTTACTTGTTATTTATATTTTATAATAATATATAAATACAATATATATAGTTATTATATATTCTCTCTATATATGTGTGTGTAATTTAATTCCAAGAGTATTTTTATATTAATATATGGATATATTAATATAAAAATACACTTAGTATGACATTAAATATATAAGATATATATATTTAATGTCATACTACGCACATATAAATATATATATATATATATATATATATATATATATTTATTTATTTCCTGGTTGTTATTCATGGCAGCATATACAAATGTGTTAGCTCTGCCCCTTACAGCTGTAGGAAAGGGAAAACACCAAAAGCTTTAAAAGGAGGCTCCATTCCTAAGGTCCTTAGTCTTTTTCTTGTCCTACAGCCTTTAGGATGCTTATGTAATGTATGATCGTATATTGTAATTAAACCAGCATTATTTTTTGCCCTGGTTGAAGCCAGAGAGGGTGTGTTTTGTCATCACTATTGACAAGCATGCCCCCTCTCAAAGCAATAGGCTTTACCTTCATCATACAGAGAAGTCAGAAAACAGAGGACAGACCTAAAAGGAGCCGATATGGGATCCAAATTTAATTTCATGCATCAACTATGCCATCTGCTCCAAGCATATTTATAAGCCATTTTGATAAGTCGGAAAGTTGATTGCGAAACTCCCTCGACCGACCAAGGTCCCCTGAAATCAACCATATCATGATATGCAAGAGACCTTGGAGAACAAGGGGATGAGGTAGACCATCTGTATCCTGAAGAAGGCACTCAAAAGATACAAATGCTGTGTATCAGGCACAATTGCCAGAAATCGCGAGCCATGAAGGTCAGAATTTTGTATTTTGTACCTCCAGGTGATTAATGTAGCGGACAGCTGACACGTTGTCCATCTTCAGAAGGATAGTGCATTGGGCTTGAGTTTGGGAGAAAGACAGTCTAAATGGGAGGCACCTGAACCTCTATTTCCTGTCCTACCATGTGAACTGCAGTAAGTTCTTGATCTTGATGCAATCTTGATGTTGGACTGCAATAGGCACTGTGAGATATGCATCCTTCAGATTTAATTTGGCCATCCAATCTGCTGGTTGGAGAAGATCCCTTAAGCAATGCCCTCCTTCAATCTTGGAAGTGCTGATATGCCTCATAATTATGGAGCTGTCTCAAATTTATCACTGGACGGACACCTTCGCCTTTTTTGGGAACCAAGAAAAGGTTGTTCACGTAACCCAGGGTATGACCCGGAATCTCTACGATGGCTTGTTTGCGCATCCATTTAAAAAAAAAAAATTATTTCCACGGAGACAAGGTCTGCGTCTTGTTGGGAAAAAACTATTTTCCTCGATTGGGAACATTGAACAGGTAGAGAAAGGAAGTCTATGCAATACCCTTTCACAGTGTGGTCATTATAAGAGCCTTGGTTCTGTCTAAAAGAACTTCTGTTTATCCAGCCAGAAAGATCATCTGAATCCTCCATATAGGACCCAGGGAACTCCTCCTCAATATCACTGAGGTCAGATTCAGAGTTCAGTTGGGCTTTTGCCCTTTTCCAAAGTCTAGTCGATTTTGCTCGACTAGAGGTTCTTTTGCGCGGTGGTAAATTATTCGCGCCATCCGTGACAGGTATGGTACTGTCCATCTCTATTGTTTTGGAGGAGTGTTTAGCCTTATATGTGGCTTGCGGCCAGGCGGAAGCAGAGCAGGTGTGAGTACAGGTACTCCTCCATATAGGACTCAGGGAACTCCTCCTCAATATCACTGAGCTCATATTCAGAGTTCAGTTGGGCTTTTGCCCTTTTCCAAAGTCTAGTCAATTTTGCCTGGCTAGTGGCTCTTTTGCACGGTGGTAAATTAATCGCGCCATCCGTAACAGGTATGGTACTGTCTATCTCTATTGTTTTGGAAGAGTTTTTAGCCTTATATGAGGCCTTGTGGCCAGGCTGAAGCAGAGCAGGTGTGAGTACAGGTACTGCCGCCCGAGTAGTCGGCTGGGCTGATCTCTGTGCCTGTAGCAGGGTCTGGGCAAATGTCTGTGAAAGTGAATCAGACATAACCTCCATCACTGACACCAGGGCATTTATCATTGCTTTTGCCATGGAAGTGTCAGTTAAAGCCTGCATATCAGCAGGAGCAGTAAAATCAGCAGAAAAATCAGCCTCATCTCCAGAGATACCTGGAGAGGCTTCTAAAGTAATCTCCATGTTTACTGTAGACCCAGAAGGCAAATAAAGATCCTGTTAGACTGAATCCTAAGGGAATGAATAAAGTAAAATAATACCTAAAGGAAAGGGTAGAGTAATCCTCAATAAATAAATACATAAATAAACAGGATAAAGAAATGAAAGTACTCACAATAGTGAAAAAATAGCAATTGTAATAGGAAATGCAGGAGCTGCCCGGCTGCCTCTATAACTAAACCCCAACTTAGATTTCTTGCAGTTGGGAGCAGAGCAGCAGTCAGTCAGATGAATGAAGGGAAAAAACAGCACAATAGCACTGTGCAGGAGATAAAGATCCTCAATGACTTCCCTGAGCCCCAATAGATGGGCCAGGGAGGTCAGAGGGGAAATAAATTGTAAAATGATATACAGTAAAGCATATAACTGAAGCAAATGAAGTAAATACATCAAATTAAGTTAAAATAAAGTAACTAAATATATTTATAAATATGAAAATATTATAATTCAAATGTAATAATAACTATAGTAAACAGTATTGATATGAATAAAAGTTAAAAATCCCACAGTTAAGAACCGTGGGACCCAGTGTCACTTAACTGGGGGAGCAGCAAAGAAAGAGGAAGTAGTATACTGGACACTGCCTGTTATGCTATAAAGAGGATTCTGATTGGCTGTTGCTGTTGCTAGGAAGATATACCTCTCATGTTATTTACTGGTTTCTTTTATACTGATTTAATGTTATTTTTCTTTGCTTCTGAGGGAAATAAAGAAAGAGTGCAGCATAATAGGAGCCTCCGCGTCTTAATAATATCAATATTCATCTATGCATTGTGCTAGAAAATGTCTATCATTCTCTAAAATCAGAGGTTAAAAATCAGCCCTTTCCCCTTCCTCTCATTCGGTTAGTCTGTACTAAACATATGCCATCAGTAAAGATTTAAGATGGCTGTGCACTGCCTGTCTGTTATCATTAAAACCCTCAAATGGGCATCTCCTGCTTGAATTGAGCTTATGGTAAAGCAATACCTGAGTATAGGGGAAATAAGGATGAGGGGCAGGTTCTGTGTGATAGCAACATGGAGAGATGAGAGAGCTCTCAGAATGATTTATTGCACCAGCTTTCTGGCAATCTGAGAATGGAGAGAAAAAACACATACGTTTTATTTAGACAAAGGCAACATAAAATGTTGGGGACTATTAACCAGGGCTGTGCTTCCCAAACAGGGGTATGTAAAAGAGGTATGCTTAAAACAGGGGGAATGGAAAAAATAAATAGGACATTGTATTAATATAAGGGAATAAACACGTAATTGTATAACATGAGTTAGGCTAGATAATTAGAAAACTGCAAACCTAAAATGGGATATAATTAAGAAAAAGTAAAAAGGAATAACTCAGTGTTATCACAACCAAACCAATAAGAAAATATTTAATATTTAAATATCTCACATAACTTCAAACCCTGTTATGATTTCTCACTTTCTAACATTCCTACATAATATTAGGATTACACTACGTACTGTCCTGATGACAAAATGGAACTGATCTAGCTAAAATAGTGACACATCCTAAGTAACTACAATTATTTTATCCTTGCAATTCTATGTAAATACACTTTCTGCAGACTTTCAACTGTGATTTACAAAGTATATGGTTCCCAGTAGACATTAAAGATGTTCAGCAGTGTTTGGAGAACTATTTGTCTAATGAAACATTTCAGTCTGTTCTCATGGCAACTATAGATCACAATGACAGTGAAATTCTGACATTCAAGAAGTAATGAAATCCTTAAGAGAAATAACCTAGATAGCAACAAGAAATAACACTAAAAATGTGTGAAATCAGGTGGTAGTCTTTGGATATAAGAACATATTAAAGGGATGCTATAGTGTTAGGGACACAATTCTGTATTCCTAACACTATAGTGCCCTCTGCTCCCACCTCCTTTCAGCCCCCTCACAAAAAGGGTTAAAAAAAACCCTTTACGCACTCTTTAATAACACAATTCCAGCACCGATCTCCCTCGGTGATTTGCCTCCTCCGATGCCATAAGATGCAGGAATCTATTGCGTGGCAAGAACATTAGGTCCTTCCAATTAGGTCTTTCCAAAGCATTAAATTAGTGCTTTCCTATGGGGATTTCACTGATGCTGAATGTCCTCATGCACAACGTGAGGACATCCAGCATCAGTTAGGGTCTGGTAAACTCCCAGAATCTTCTATAGTGGCTGTCTGGTAGACAGCCACTGGAGGCTGTCTTAACACTGCAATGTAAAAAAACTCAGTGTCTCTAAAACTGCAATGTTTTACAACGCAGGACTAAGGTGGACAGGAACACCGTACCCAGACCACTTCAATGAGTTGAAGAGGTCTGGGTGCCTGTAGTGTTCCTTTAACTCTTTCAGGCCAAGGGCTAAGTATATCAATTGTTATTGCAACAGCCCTGAAATGTGTTTTATTTTAAAATATTAGCAAAATAAGTATGTAGGTATAAACTTAAAACAACCAAGTATGGCACTAAATTATTTTACTAAAATAGCTATACAAAGCTGCACCTTACAATATGTAAAAGCTCAAAACACATATAGTAAGTAATACATGTGTTACTCTACACCTTGATTGAATATAAGGTGGAAGCTTATACAGTTAGAGCATACTTAAACTGATCTACATTTGTGAGTGATCTTCCTATGTTTGTTTAATAATTTATTGTCATCAGTATTGCCTAATTATGTTTTTTTTTATTTCTTAAATGTTATATGCTACGAAGTTGCTTGCAAGCATATCAACCTATCTAATATATGGGAGGAAGATATATATGCACATTTATATTTGTATTTTGCAGCGTTGTACAATATGAGTTTGAATTGAGCATATTGCACTTTAATAGAAGTTTAAGTATATGTCACTTTATGTAATGCAATTTAGATTTTTGTTTTTGTAAATTATACTTTATTAAAAAAAAAATTTATGTCTTGTTGTTTGTTTTCTTTCATGGACACTTGCTTGGTACACGCAGGTACCTGTATTGGTGATTATGTTATACTTCAGTGCTCACAGGCACTGTCCATTTTAACGATACATTCGTTCGGTACACACAAGTACCTGTTTCGAGAGTAAGTATTAAACTGGGATGCGCAGTTCACTTGGAATAGATAAAGGTGGTTACATGCAGAACTTAGAAACAAACAAAATGTGCATATGTCACTATGTAGAGACCCAGAGGGTGCTTAGAGATCGAGGGGCAAGTTTCCGTCGTGTTACATTGACCTTAGGGAGGGCATACCTGCCTGTCTCTCTTATTCTTCTTTATAGTTTCCAAGGGCAGGTGTGTTTGCAATTTTGTTTTTAGCACATTAGAACATATGCACTTTCACATAGTTAATGCTACACGTGATATACATTACTAATTTGTCTTAAAGACGCGGCACGCTTAATTTTTTTGTTCTAGAAAATTAGTATTGTTTGAGCAGATGATAGAATATTATTATTTTTATGCACCTTAATTTTCAACATTTAAGTGAATAAGCCCCTATACTAAAAAGCTAAGTTCTGTTCATCTTAGTTGGTTGTACATTCCAATACATTGGTATCCTTTATTTGTATGGCAGTAACCATCTGTTAATATTTTATTTACCCTTCCCCCCATAACCTGTAGGCTACAAGAATGTGTGTGTCTTTCTACTCCCCTATTTCCTTTAAGCCCTTTTAAGAAGTATATGTTAGTACCCAATTGGATGATCCAATAAGGGGCATGTATAATGCTCATTTCATATACTGATGTCTGTTAAAATTAAAGCATAGTCCTATTGAACCATCAATATGTGTGTGTCGTTCAGTTCCCAGTACTGCAGAGGTACAGATGAAACCCATGATTGATAACTAATAGAAGTCCATGGCAAGCACTTTTAAGGAATTCTTCACCAACAGCAGGCCAAACATGGCATATGGCATTCAAATAAATACACTAAATGGTAAATAATCATGGTGGATGCAAAGATTATTCTTGCCCTAGGCAAAAATATATTATGCTAAAGAAACACAGGATTACTCACTAAAGAGAGAATTGTTAGGTATTCAAAGTAAATTTCTAATTTATGGGATAAAATAGCCAAACTGGAAGAATAGCTGATTTGGAGAACTTTCCCAGTTTGGCTATTTTGGCCTTATAGTTGATATTCACTTTGCATTCTCAACAGTCCTCACTAGTTAATAATCCAGAGAGAGTATGTGATGGTCACAACCAAAAACGTGCGAGTGGAGTTGTTACCTTAAGAAATCGCTATTCAATTTCACCCGTAAACAGGTTTACAATCTGCATTGATCTCATAAAATAAACACATAATGCATGCAATATAGTGTAGTATTGTATTCACTTACGAATATATAAAAAATACTTGTGTCAGAAAAGTGCACTCACTCATTTATTAGAGTCGTGAAGGATTGGCTCAAATCCCGAGTGCTTGTGTACCTTTCCCAGGCAGCACTACACCTTTTATCAGTGCATATCTCATCATATGATACGTATGATAATATTTATAAAAATGCTGAGGGAATTATTTCCACCTTGAGCTAATATACTTATCATGAAATCGGAATAATATAATTTAAAACATATAACTTCTTAAATTATTTTCTTATACAATTTAATTTAAATGCTGAGGGAATTATTTCCACCTTGAGCTAATATACTTATCATGAAATCTGCATAATACAATTTAAAGCATATATCTTCTTAAATTATTTTCTTACACAATTTAATTTCAATTTATTTCTTTTATTTAATATTTAAAACCTAAATCTAGCTGCCACTTACTCACAAATAATGTTAGAAACGAACTAACAAATAAACATATAATATTAACCCCAAATGTCTTTCTAACACTAACCATAACCTAATCCAAATTTTAAATGATAAGCTGTGTGGCCAGGTAGACATAGCAATAATTCAGGCGGTACATTAGATGAGCAAGCTATGTAGAACACTGTTAATGCGCCCCTCGGCGCAATGTCAGTGGAAA